ATATTTTCTGCAGGTGTCAGTCCAAATCTTGTAATTAATTTAGGTACTGACAGTTGAGGCCATATTGTTTGGCACTATTCGTGATTTACACTAGTGTTTCCTGTTAAGTTTAACAATGCAATTAAATTATTGTACTCTGATTCTAAAACAATTAAAATACAATTTAAATAAACATTTATTAAAACTTATAGAGTAATTTATTATAGATGGAATGCGATGAAAATATACATATTAGGTAAAATATTGGTTGGTAAAAGATTGTTAGTTTTGTTTAACAATCGTTTATGGTCAGTAACGTAATTGATCACACTGCCATCTGTTGGCTACGTGTGCCGAAACCTACTTTTATAACGTATAAGCGTTATTTGTTTTAGTAAACGCTTGGTTGTTTTTATTCAAAATTTCAAATAAGCCCTTAAGACTTAAGTTTTCATAAATTCCGGATATAAAATATACTTAATTATCCATTTTAAAAATTTAACTACTTAGTATCTAAGCTCATCTAAGCTCTAGTTGCGACGGTATAACTAAGTTGAGATTACCTGGTAGTTGATACTCTGAATAAAGAGTATATTTAGGTGGCATAGACATTTGTAATACAGGCAATGAAACGTCAAATTCATTTTAATAACATATATTGTACTTAGTATTAGGCAGCTCTGTACTCGTAAATTAGTCATAATTTCTAAGCTAACTGTATAAAATTTTGTACATCGACTTCTTCTGAATACAGACAAAATCGCCAAGTAGATATAATTAGTGTAATTATACCGCATCATAGCATATCATATCGCACTTATGAAAAATAACTACCAAGATAACATATATGAAATAAATTGAAAAGGAGGTTAGTGTCCTGTTTTAATCTATTAACCGATTTGTATATTTAGGTCAAAGAAACTTCATCCCTTTCTTTCACTATTTTAACATTATAAAAAATTATATAAATGTTTTCTACAGCAAAATTCAACTATCGATAAATTTTTTCGATAACCGCTACTAGTATTGGATTGGGATATTCTCATATTGTCTTCTATCCGTTTTTCTGCCCGAATACACACAATAATTTGAGTTCTATTGATTAATGGCTGCATCCCACTAAAGTCGTTAACTTTTTATCTTTTTTTAACTCTACCCAGGTTAATTTCAATGAACAATCTCCAACATTTCTATCCGTCCCCTTCCCACACAATCTCCCTAAACCTATTGTTTATATCAAAAAGCTGTGATATAAATTAATTAAAGGATGAATTTTATATTATTTTCTTCTGTTAGCATAAATGGCTGAGTTCCTTTTTCTTCTTGTTTTAATTGATTGAATGATAGATAGGATAGTACATGGAAATTAAAAAATGTTGTTTTCTTATAAAAACATTTTTAATAATGAAGCTCACTTTATATAGAATGGATTCGTAAATAATTGAAACCGTCTATTATGAAGTAAAAAAAAATTTAGTCACGAAATGTACGTTTAGTTAAGAGGCATAAATAGGCTTTATTTCTTTAAAGATAAATATGAAAAAACTAAGACCATCAAAGCGGATCGTTATTAATGATTGATGGCTGTAAACATAACCATAGTATTCGTTTATATAATATTGTTTTCTATACATAGTTGTAAAAAAGTATATTTTCGACGTGGGGTGATACTTTAACAATTACAGGGGTAAACTTTGCTTTCCACTCTAAGTAAAATATTTACAGCTATTATTCTAACTATGGTTTCTAATGTTGCAGAAAATTCGCTGTTGCTTTCACCGACAAAAATCGTTGTCCACATAATTTATTCTAGCGTTTGATATTCGGGGACAAGAAGAAGAAGAAGTCATTGCTTGCCAAATCAGGACTGTATCAAATCAGGCGGATGACCTATTATTTAGATTGATTTAAATTTGAATGTTCAAATAGTCGCTTGTTACACGAGATGTGTGAGCACTCGCATTGTCTTGATGGAAATAGAGAATGATCCGACGATGCTTGTTGGCTTTCCGTATTTCACTTAAGACTTTCGGTAAACAAATTGTTATATACCATCCGGAATTGACTGTTTTACGTTTCTCTGGTGGTGCTCGTATATTTGTCACAGTTTTTCCGAAAAAACAAACGACCATTTGTTTCGAAGTGCTTCGAGCGCTAACAACTTTTATTGGATTTGGTTCATCTTGAAACATCAATACTCGTACAATCGACTGCGTATATCCATGATTGGTCACATGTTACATTCGTATACGTCATATACGTCTTTTGAAGTATCGCCATTGTACTTATTGAGCATTTGTATGCACGGTGCACCAATCGACACATACATTTGTTTGAAATTTTGTCAAATGATGGAAGATGGCATTCAACAACAACAACAAACCTTTCTCACGGCTAAATGTTTATGCTATATGTTATATACTCGCTGGTGGAACTAATGCCTAGGGTTCCCTCAATCTCACAGTACGGATATGTTGCATGACGATCTTGCATTACTCATATCAGTTTTTTCAATGTACTCTTGCTTGATAACCCACGTCGAAAGTTGATAGTTGTAATAAATCATCGCACGAAAATTATCTCGCGTTACTTCCTTTTTTTCGCGAACACTCTATTTACAAATCACTGTAAATAACATAAATAACGGTCTTTTGACAAAAAGTCTAAAGTCAATTATGTTTCATATTGTCAAATTTTCGTAAGGAAACGTCAGATGACACCTAACAACAATCTGTGTTTTTAGGGCTAATTACATTGAAAAATAAAGTTAAAACAGATAATTAGTTACTTTTAGATAATTAGTTCTTAATATCACATAAGGTTTTAAATGCTTACTTATTTGTCGCAGTGTTTTTCGTAATATTCGAATATATTTGCATTAAACAATATCAGGCAAATTTTTTCCAACTGTGACATAACACTCATAAATCACTCGCATCATATTTGTGACGAGTATAAGTATTAATGTGTTTCATATGATGAGTATGAGTAAATAGGGTGCTGTCAATTTTATCATTGAATATAAATCTCAATAAGATTTTACTTAATAGCTCTATATATTTGTGAAATTGTGTATACGAAAACCAGAGTTAGAGTGAGTATAAGCGAAATGCAGTTAATAATAGTGTGTGCCTCGAGTGTTTAGTACGCATTGCAGCTCTCTAGCTAAAACAAATCAGTTATATTCTATGGAACTGAAATCTCTTCTACTAATCCTCCAATCTTACTTAGGAATGTATATTCTTACAGAAGAGGCAATAAAACTCTGTAAAGTAGGTTCTATACTACCTTTTATTGACGCAACAGGGCTTAGAGACCTACTCTAAACCCAGAAGGACGCACAATAGACCTGACGGTGGCGGTGCCACATAAAAATAATTCTCCAATCTTCCTCTTTAATCTGATCCAAAATTCAGCTCACTTTAAACTAAGATTCAGAGAATATCTAATATGTGGATTAAACAAGAGAAATACAAGAATATTAGAAACGTAAATGGGGCTGCTTAGAGCACACTCTGAAAAAGCCAAATAGGAATATTACTCGACAGGCGCTGAGATGAAATTTGCAAGGTTCTATACAATTAGGTCCGACAGCTTTAACTTGAATAGTGAAACGGCATCGTTACCTATTCGAATAATATAGTTTGGTTTAAATTGATAACAGAAACTCTATGCACTACCTAGAAAAAAATCACATACACATTTTTTTATACTATCAAAAAAAAAAAGACAAATAAATAAATAACACTAAGCTTAACACAATTTTAAAACATTAAAGCGTTTTTTTTACTGCCCAATGCTTCAATACGAGCGATAGTTAAACACAAATCTGTGTATTTCTTATCATCAAGGAATTAAATAAAAAAGTGATATTTTGTGTATTTTATGTGAACTTGTCAAGTAAATAATTTTAAGGTATTCAATGCGAATATAAATTGTAAAATATGAATAATTGTTAGAACAAATTATTAATTTTTAATTAACAATTTTTTAATTAATAATTTTTTAATTAAAATTTAAAAAAAAAAATTTTTTTATAAGTAATTTTTTAATTAATAATAATAACTCTAATCAAAGGAAATTGTGTGCTTCATTTAATCATTTTTTTTTTAATTAAAATGAAAAACAACTTTAAAGCGAAAACGCTTGTTTACAGAAAGTTGTGTTTAAGCTTGAATTGAAATGACTCCTGTGTTAGACTGGTGCGTTCGAATTCGCTCAAATTAGCTTGCACACATCTTTTTAATGTAAATTAAATGACTCCTTCAAATTACACAGGTGTGTCCCAATTCGTTCGAATAAGCGTGCACATATCTCTTTTGATACGAAAATATCTAAATTACGTTATTTACAAACGCAACACTTGCATCCAACTGTTTTATTAGACCGCAGTCCAAAAAAAAAAAAAATAAAAAACTAAAACATTTAATATAAATATAATGTTAATTATTTATTTTCCTTTAAAGTGCTAAAAAAATTAACATTGCCTGCAATCATTTTTTAATGGGCTTAGCCTTGCGGCAACTAGTTGCCAAAGCATTTCCATAATACAAAGACTTAACTCGAGTCCGAAACATTGCAATTTCGATGGCAACAACTAATTAAATCTTTTACTTTTAATAAAAAAGAAATATGAATTATGCTAAATGCGAGCGAGCAGCACTTGTACGGTATGTCATCGTCATTCTCCTTTCGTTATCGTCATTCTCTGGCGACATCTTACAAGCGGTCGCTGTCGAGACTGCTACATTAGAAATGAAGTTTCAAATTTGGGGTAATGAGAAGCGATGCTGTAATCGTTACACTTTAATTAAAATATTTTTGTTTTATATTTTGCAATTTCTTGTATTTGTTAACATCACACTTTTTTAAACAAAAAATTGTAATTAAAATAAAATAAGTAATAAACTTTTTAATTAGTTTTTTCTTTTTTTCAAACAAAATTTCAAAGTTTCAAAGTTTCAAAGTTCAAACCATAACAACAAAATTATAATTAAAAAAATTCAACAATATTTATTTACGTTTAAATTTATATAAGTTTAGTTGATATGTGTATGTGTGTTTGTGTTTGCTTGCACGTGTGTTTTGTTGTTGGATAGGTCTTCCCATAAACAACACTTACACTTAAAAGGCGGTTTGTCACTTAGTAAAATTCAACAATCGAACAATCGAATATTTCAGAACTCTTTATTAAACGCAAAAAATCAAACCGCTACAAATAGCCGCACTTGCTCTACATTAGAACGCCGCGCAACAACTAAATGGGGATCGTTGCTTTGGTAAATATGATCTAAAAATGTTGATTCAAAAAATGTTTAAACAAACAAACATACACCGTATTTTTATACGGCTATTTCTCATTTACAAAATGCCCCACAAAAAGATAGATGTATACAGTAATACTTACATACAATGTTGTTTGTTTTGTTTTTGAGTGAGTTCGCAAAATATTTTCTGCCGTTGTTGTTGTTGTTATCAGTGTATATTAGTCACACTAAGCTTAACATTTCAGTGGCATTAAACTATGGTCTGTCTTATTTACTTTTCAATAAGACAGTACTCCACTTGTTGCTATGATAACCACCATTCAACTTTTTTTGCTTTGATTCGGTAAATCAACAGGCGGTCGTTTGAAGCACAAAATACCCAGCTAGCAATGTGGTTTTTATACTTGCCGTAATTTTTTCTTTCAGAGTTGTAAAGTCTAACATTAAGTCTGGTTAAAAGAAATTGACATCACTTCTATAATATGTTAAATGCTTTTTTTGACATATGGTTTTTGTTGTGTTGTGAACAATATGAAATATAAAAATTATTAACACTAAAAACGATTTAATTTAAATAAAAGAAAACAAAAAGGGGAATGGTTAGCATTTTTATCTTATATATTAAAATTTATTTATTTATTTATGTATTTGAAGTTATTAGTAAATAAAGAGGTTTTTCGAACAGTAGTGAACTACAACAAAAATTCATTTTATATTATTTTAATTAATTAAATTATTGGCTGACCAAATTGCCAAATATTCATCATCAGTGGTCTTAAAAATAATTCTTGCACATATTTAATTATTCGTAAATAATTTTTTTAGACTATAAGTATCAGGAATCGAACTCGGGTCCTGTCAAATTTGAAGCTCAGAGTCAACGTTCGTTAGTCAACTGACCTAAAGTCGAACTTGACTTGTATGTTTACACTTTTTTTTTATTATCAAATCCGCTTACTGTCTTATATTAGAACGAAATCATAAACCAGCTGTAGAATAAATATATTCACTAATTGTATTTTTATTTTTAAATGTTATATTTCAATACCATTCTGTTTGTAGAAGCATTATTTGTTGCATGAATTATATATTCTTTCTTATGTATAGAACCTAATTAAGGAACGTAATATTAAGAAAGTCGTGCTTATGTTACTCCACGAGTCGCACAGGTGAGATCATTATTTTCTCAACATAAAGTTTTAATTTAACTTCAAATTTATCAGACTGAAGTGACTATTATATTTTAATAGAAACTAGTATATTTCATAAAGAGGTTTTTTGAACAGTAGTGAACTACAACAACGAAAATTCATTTAATATTATTTTAATTAAATAAATTATTAGTAAATGATTTCAACAGATGACTGGAATTTTACAACAAACTTACAGTGAATGTTTACAATAGACAGATTTTTGAATTTGGCTGCACTGAAACTTAAAACCTAAAGTTTTTTGCGAGTAAAACGTAACTCTGAAGATTTTAAGAGCATTGTTTTTGCTTCGTATGTTTTCTTTAGCAAGTTGCGTTTGACGACGCTGACTGTAGGATGCACAAATATTATATTCAGTTTGAGCTCTCGAACTATAGCTGTTGTGTATAAAGTAATAAGAATCTTTGTATATGTTATATTATGAATATGTAAAACGAATTTTGTTAATAAAGCTGTTTTAGTTTCCATTGAACTCTCAGACAACGCGGCGTTTTTAACACTAAAAATCCTGAAATATAACAATTTCATATTGTACACAAGATAACAAAAAACATATGTCAAAAAGCATTCAACATATTTTAAAAGTGATGCCAATTAGTTTCAACCAGTCTTAATGATGTTTTTTTACAACTCTGAAAGACAAAACTACGACCATTGCCGGTTCCTAATTTTATTTCAATTCCTAATTCTTACTGGGTAAGCAGAAATACGCACACCCAGTATACTAGACAATTATACCAATGAAAAAGTTTGTTTGAAAAAAAATTGTATTGCTAGGATGCGTTTAAGTGGTTGAAGTCCTTCAAGTTTTGTTATTTTACAATATATATATGTACGTGTTGTGCTATACGTATATGTATATATATCATAAATGTACAGCCATAATTGAAAGTATGCCTAGGCAAAGACGCACATATTGAAAATCACCCTTAAGTGCACTTTCAGATTCAATCGAATATAATTACTGGCCTATGCGGTTGTGATTAAATGTTAGAAAAACTATAAAAAGCCGTATTAATGGAATGAAAAAAAATTTGTCTTTATATTTCTATGTTTTTGGTGAAATCTCTCTTAAGCGCACAATTACCGGACCAGCAATTCTGTCCGGTTAAGAAAGATATCTGTTAAGAAGGGGTACTTCATATGTACTAGCAACATTGCAAAATAAATAGAGTGTCTCTCTCTCTCTCTACCTGTTTATAAGAGCGATCGTTTCACTGAACTTTCAATGTATTTATGAATTGCACAAGTTTTTTTTTTATTAAAATTTTTTACAATTAATTATAGAAACACTTTTATTTACTATTGATTCTTCAATCATATATAAGTCTATTACACCCACACTAAAGTTATTTTTACAATTTTCCAATTTGACTTAAAGTATCTATTAATTCTATAACTTCGGAAGGAGTCAATAATATTCGTCTGTAATCTTCAAAGGGTAGAGCCCTCATTTTGGAACTATTCTTGAAAGGGAATAAACAAATATTTGGTCTATAATATGTAATCTCTTATTTAAGGACTCTCACTACACAGCATCATCAGTGTGTCAATCAGCGTGGACATAGTAAAATTGACCAATAAATAAGACAACAAAGTCCATTTAATAACTACTATATATTATTATAGCATTTCCAACAAAACACAGTATAATTACATTAGTTTGTACACACCCGTCTGTTAATAACGCTCATTTGAGTGGGTCAATTTATAAGCGTATAGCAAGACATGATTTTATAGACCATTGTGTGAAAATGTTATCAAAAAACATATGTATATCCAAAATAAAATAAAAGTCGGAGCATTTTTCAAAATATTTGGATGGTGTGTTTTGCTTTCGCTTATATAAAATCGACTGCTACTTTTACTTCTAGTTGCATTTGGATGCATTTGGACTTAAATGAAAGTATTTTTGAGAGAATTAAAAAACTAAGTCTGAATTTTGATTTCAGTAGCTAAATCTCATCAAAAAAAAAGAGCTGTAAGTCAACTTAGAAGTGGTTGGAAACATATGTTACCCCTAATTTCTGGATATAATTAAGCTTAAATAAAATACATTTAAGATATATATAAATTTAAAGCAAAGAACTAGGTTTGAAATTTAAGTTGTAGTATCTAAATCTCGAGCAAAACGAAGTATATGTCGGCTAGTGGTAAAAATGTGCGTCATGGTCTGATCTGCCATGGCACCGCCGTTACGAACAACTATGATGTCAGCCTGGAGATCAGACGAAGAATTATCATTGCTAATGGGTGTTACTGTGAGCTCAGCAGCGGCTTGGATGGCTTGACAATGTCGTGAAAATGGATGAAGAAGTTCCAGCGAGAAAGGTGTATAAGGCAGTAGTTGGAGGAAGAAGGTGTAAAGGTAGTTCGTATTTCCGGTGAAATGATCAATTTGAGGGAGCACTAACCGGACTTGATGTACGAGACAGGAAAGGCGCGCATGCAGCAGATGCGGCGGGAGAGGTGTGCTGCGTGAGGCCGAAACTCGGTTTACGGGTTGTTATGGTCAAATAAGGAAGTTAGTAAGCTAAATCTCGTGCCAAACAAATAAACCCAAATTATGGTTTGCTCATACAACATTGTTTTTCGTTTATCTTTGGGATATGATATGGACTATTATGAACTTCGTGTTGAAAATTTTGTTAGATTCTGTGCTTCAAATTTCAAATAAGATGTCGTTATTTGATTTAAAAGTAAACAAGTAAAAGTTGATTTTAAGTAAGCGAAAGCAAAAAAAAATATCTATATATTTTGAAGAATGCATATGTGTATAATTCATTTTAAACATATGTTTTCTTAGTAAATTTAAAAAAAAATCGATGTTGAAGAATGGCCGAACTTAAATTTCACTTTAGGTATATGTTTTCTTAGCAACTATGCTCGCAATGATCCACAGAAACATTTTGCTACATGTTTTAAAAAAATCGACCCATCCTAATGCCCTTCACTATCGAACTATTTTCCAATGGACTACCTGTTCATTATAAAATATTATTAGAAGGCTTTTAGGGGAGGCTTTACCCACATCAGCTTATAATTTATCATAACAGGGGCTATTTATCTTACAGTTAAACATTACATAAAATTCATACAAATACAAAAATTATATAGTACGATGACGTGTGTATGTAAAAAGATTTCGAATTGAAAATCAATTGTTATATTACCAGAAATTATCTAAATAGTCCATATGGCTTTCTACAATTATTATAGTTCCTTTACAAGTCTTAAGATCCTATGTAGGGAAGTCAACATCATTTAGAATAATTAGCCACCTATTGAATTTTGTAAGGTTCTCTACATTTCATCTTAATTTGTATGAGTGTTTGGATGAAGCATTAATTTTTTCGGTAGTAAAGTACATCAAAATTAGTCTAAAACCCTATTTATGTTAATGCCTATAAAAAATGAGTTTGCAGACGACCTAACAAGATTTAATGCGACGCAACAAAACCTCTCTAACTTAATTATTTCTTTTTGTTTTAATTAAATAATTAAGCCTCAAAAAATTAAAAAAAAATAAATTATATCTTCTATGAGAGTGTTATAAGTTTAATAAAATGACTTATTATTACATATATATATATATATAAATCATTAACTTACTTATTTGATTTGTATTACAATTGCTTGTGAGTTGAGTCTTGGGCACAACGTTTCTTGCGTTGAGGCTAATCAGCAATATCAATTTGCGACAGGATATCTCGATCATTCTACCCTAAAGAAGATTTTTTTATTCTACTACTTTGCTCTAATGGTACCGAATATTGTTTAACTGAAATGTCTATGTCATTTATGTCAATCAATGGATCTTTATTATCTCGACTTACAAAATTTTAGGTAAGACCTTGGGGGCTAAGAAAATAAGAAAATTTTAAAGATTTGAAGAAGTAGTCTAGTTAAGAAGATTTTGTTAAGAATTTTTCTGTTGAAAAGTCGTAAAACCATAGATTTTTCAGCGTTAATCGCCTTCATCGTCTTCAGGACGAGTTAAATAAGCAAGTTGTATAAAGTTATTTGTTTTCATCAAGAGAGATCTCGAATTTCAATTGCCTATGCACTCATAGTAATACCTATTGGTAGGATTAATTCTTTAATTGAAAATTGAACTTTTATATATATTGATCTAATTAACTTGAGAATTTAGTTAAGAGCGCTTCATTTTATAGTTCAGAAATGCAATTCGAAACTGAAATTGAAGGAAATTAATAATAATAATAGTGAAATTTACAGGTCTGATACGTTTGATATAAATATTCCCGGTTTTATGAAAAATTGACTTAATACTTCATATAAAAAAATGATCCATGAAAGTTTGACAGTGTAGAAAATTTTTTTATAAGGAATTTTATATCTATTTTTTCTGTGAAATACTAACATCCATTTCGACTTCAGATAGATAACAACATTAAGTGCATTTATGCTCTATAAACAAAATATACAAGACTTCTAAAATAAAATCGCATTGCAGTGGGGAAAAAATATAACCATACATTAAAAAAAGGTACTCAAACGTATTACGATAATAATACATCGCAAGCAATGCCTTGATTTGTTTAGATAGTTATTATGTTGTGAAATCAAAAGATTCTGCGTCGTTTGAAAAAGAAAAGTTCGGAAAACACTGGTGTAAAGCCTTCACATTACTTGTCAAGTTTTCTTCTTTTTCTTTAATAAATTGTATTTAGTCTTACTCAATTACTTAATACGCCATCATAAATGAGAAACTGGATTAGTGGCTTATTGTCAGCACTAGTAGTAGTACTAATACGTAGTACCTATTTTATTAAAAAAATTGATCACCTGGTTTTTCCACCGAACATGCAGACGTTATCTACAACTTTTTCTACTGGTGGGTACAGAATCAAACACCATTCTAGACGAGGCATTTTCTTCCAATTGCTCCGGCTATGACCAATCCAGAAAAATCCCTAAATTTTTGTGCATTTAACTATCGTGATGTTTTCGTTTCATTTAATTTGATCTTCGATGGCAACGCGTAAAGTACCATAGATCTTCAGCAGAATATTTTCCTTCTGCAACTAATGCCTTCTCAGCAATGTTGATAATTGTCCAATCTTCTGCACCACACAGCAAGGTGAGTTAATTTTTGGTGTTACACACATAAGTTGGTTCTCAAATATAAAAATCTTGTTGTCGCACAAAGTCGAACTTATACATAGTTGTTAAAAGTAGCGTGGGTTCTAAGACACCCCAAAAAATGTTTTATTGTTAAAACAACGGTTATCAAAACAAAAATTTATTTAGTGCAGATATCACCTACATATACCCCTCTGGGGTATAAATGTCTTGACAAACTTAATATACCTACTTTTTCGCTATAGCGTGAAGGGTGTGAAGAAAAATCAGTACTTAAAAAAGTATTTTCAAAATGTCAAGGTACTTTTAACAGAAATGAATATATGTATTAAAACTTTATATATATATATTTAAAACTTTATAAATAAATTAAAATTAATTATTTGAAATTATAATTACAAGTAAAATAAAGAAAATTGAATTTAAAATAACCAGCTTTTTGGACGGATAGACGGAAGTGATTACAAAAATTGTATATATATGTTAAATTGTCTCTACCATAAATCAAATATTTGTTTATGCAAATATTTACCCACACGAAACTATCTGTGTATCTATGTGCAATGGTATCGTATCAATTTAGTGACGTCACCCACGCTCAAATACGCACGCACTGTTTCCGGGGTCATTAGAATTGTAAACAAACCTACTCGCCTCATTTTTTGATTAAGAACACTTAGTGGAAAGATTGGAAAGCATTTGGATATTTCACTTTTTTAATCAAATCACATTTTGATGAATGCCATACCATATCATTTTTGGCAATTTTCTTGACGTGATTATGCCATTAAATTATTTTGATATATTTTATCAAACCCGCATAAATATTTAACTGGCTATTAATTATTGGGTGTTGAGAAAAAAAGAGGAGAAAAATATATGTACATAAATTCTTAGATAAAAGTGGAAAATAAAGTTATTGCAAATTTATTTTAATTTAAATTGAATTTGATTTAAATAAATTAACAACTCACGTGAATTATCAGTTCCCGATTCTTGGAAGGAATGTCGTTGAATGAAACGGACGTTGTGAGCAAATCACTAAGTATTATTTGAATTCTGAACTTCTATAATTACGACTTCATTGCAAGTTTTTCGATTTCGTTATTTCCAATTTTATGCGATAATTTGTATTGGAAAAAGGTAATTACATCCAAAAGCCACCTTGTCAGATGAACTATCAACTGTTTTTCATCTCTGCTTGACTGCATTTGCTCGTTTCGTGCAGATTTCCACACTAAACAAAAATAATGCAATAAAAACGCAGAAATTTAACCTACTGCGGCCCAATACTCACTGAGGCGTTGAAATCAATCAAATTCATTATGAAACGATAGAAGTCCCATTGTGTTGTAGCTACTCAAGGCCAGCAGGGGGGAAGAGAAAAATTTGGTAATGCAAGAGAATGAGTAAAGACTTGTTGAGTATTTACATTTAAAAATTTTTCAATATACTTTATGACAGCATATGTCTGTACTTAAAATGGAAACACAATGTCAAAGCTAGTCATGTTAATTGATATCGATCAAATATCAATATCATCTAAAAATATAATATATGAGACAGTGCTCTAAACGAATACGATTTTCAAATTAGAAATATTTTATGGAAGGTTTTCTCTAGACTAATTTTCTTATAACTATAGAAAAGAGAGCTAAAATAGATAATGTGTACACGATTTTCAAATCAGAAATATTTCATGGAAGGCTTTCTCCAGATTAATGTTCTTGTAATTGTTGAAAAGAGAGCTGAAATAGATAATGTGTACACGATTTTCAAATCAGAAATATTTCATGGAAGGCTTTCTCCAGATTAATGTTCTTGTAATTGTTGAAAAGAGAGCTGAAATAGATAATGTGTACACGATTTTCAAATCAGAAATATTTCATGGAAGGCTTTCTCCAGATTAATGTTCTTGTAATTGTTGAAAAGAGAGCTGAAATAGATAATGTGTACACGATTTTCAAATTGAGGGGAATATTTAAGTTAGTTAATCTGGTGAACTGAAAGCGACATGGAGTCCCATTGATTCCTAGGGACACCAAATAGAGTTCAAACTATATGTAGATTTTAGTAGTAGGCATTTTTGCAATTTAAAAAAGAAACTTAAAGTTGTATCACTTTCTTAAACAAGTATTTTTTAAAGATTTTTTAAAATGCGTTTTAAGACCAGTCCTTAGTGAGACTTAAACCCAGAGCCTATGTGCTTTGTTTCTAATACATAAACAGCGTGATATAAGGCCGTTCGTGAAAATTTTTTCCATACCTCTAAATTGTAAATTAAACACACGTTATATTAGTGATAACTATTGGAATGAAGATTTCTAGGCCAAAAATAGTTTCATTGTGTAAAAAAAACTAATTCTAATAGAAAATACAATATTAACATTCATATTTGTTCAATATGAGTCCATAATTTATATTATATATTAACTATAATACATATAGTAAATAAATATATATTTATATGCATAGAGTAGCCAGAAACCTGGATAAGGGAAAAAAGAAATTGAGTTTTTGATTCCAAAATGAGCGAAAAAAATATTAAAAAGTTTTGAAATATATATATATATATACTTTAATGTTTTGATTTAACAGTGTCAAACTGTAAACTATTATATATAATACAAGTTCGTCGAATGTAGTTTACTAGAAAAAAGTCGTTAAACTGGAATTGTCTCTCTTTTTTTTAATTCGTAATTCTTTTGATTACAGTCAAATAGCAACTATTGCTCCACGGATGTTGCTTTAATATTACGATAATATCTGCGAAAGGGGATGTGGAGCTTTTATGACGAGATCAAGAAGGAAAAGGTATATTGTTTTTCCTACAGACAATAGTTCATTTGTGCTGAATGGTCATTCATATAGTAAGTCTTGCAACAACACGGAAACTTTACTTTCATCGGTCCCTAGGGATAATCGGTAATTAATGTAATAATGTAGAAAAGCTTTTGATGTTTATGCTAAATAAATACATGGGCTGCTATTTATGCCTTACGCCTAACAATGAAAACACTGTTGGTTAATTAGTATAAATTGCGATGGTGCATTTTAAATATTTCCACATGCTTAAGGTTATATCGAAATCTGTAAAAAAAAACTAATCGAATTGCTTGCCACAATGGCGATCATAAACTTCATATCTTCTTGTATTCATTTTGACTGCTTACTGTAAAACTTCAAAATCATTTTATATTAAAAATTTTATTTAAAATTATATTTAAAATTTTATATTATTAATTTATAACCAAAGGAACTGAAGAGAAACTCTTTTATCAAAAAACATGAAATAAAAATACTACATAACATATATTTCGTTACCAAATTTATTCCTATATATTTTATAAAAAAGAACGTTGTTAATCACATCATTAATTTTGAATTTAAATGATACATTTGACTTAACAAGTATTCGATTTCGATACTAAAAAATTAATGCTGAATCACAAACAGATATTACGTTCAACTAGTAACATATTTTGATGTTTTTCTAATAATAAAAAAAATATCTTTAGAGAGTCGCAAAGTATTTAGGATAAAACCAGGACGAGCAGCCAGGCGCCTCGTCCATATAATTATCAACATTTTCTGCGTCATTTTCTTCATAACTATCATCACCTGACATATTTACATCTATATATTCGTCGACAATCCGATGAATTATGGTTTTTACAATATCTGCATCAAAATTGGTGGTTCCGAAATGTAAGATATGTATAATATATTGTTGAATCACTTCCATAATTTTTTTTCTCAACTATATCTTCGTTCATTTCATTCTGCTTAGTATACACAGGTTCTTCATATTCGGCTACATAATCAGTGATATATTTATTATCTTAATGCACAAGTGATTACATTTAGACATCAACTTACTTTCTTTTGCGATCAGACTCTGCTCTGCAAGGCTCTTGGATGAAGCGTTAATATGGATATTGGAGTGCGACGTACTTGTAACATTTTTTTTCGACTTCGCCAAATTTTTAATCATGTCATGGATTTGATATTGAATAACAGTTTGATCCAGAGCTGCAGGTATCTGGTCTACACTAGATGACGAAGGAGATTGGCTTTTAAGATGAGTTGCATTTGTATCATAAACACGTCTTTTTTGTTTTTGTCCATGACCAGCCGGAAACAGTTTTTTGCCTGTGAACAATAATATCATGATATATGTTTTAATTGATGTTTGTTTTAAATAACGAATTGAATTTAACCTACGTTTTGGTTTTACTCTTCGTTTTTTCGGTTTATTTACTGAGTCATATAATGTAGTACACTTTTCGCGTTTGTTCTTAGAACCCGAAATCAGATCATTTTCGTATACGTCTAAATTAGCTATTCTAAATGATAGTATGTTAATGTCTAATAGAATTGAATTCAACTTACAGCATGGTACCACTTTTCCTTTTTTCGGTTTATTTACTGAGTCATCTGATAGCAAACACTTTTCACGTTTTTGCTGGGAACCCAAGATCAGATCATTCCCCTCTACGACTAAATTGGCTGTTTTAAATGACAGTAATGTCTAATAGAATTGAATTCAACTTACGATATGGTGACCCTCTTCTTCTTTTTTTTTGTACAACAGACCCCATATCGTTTAAAGGCGCACAGTGCTTACGCTTTCTTCGTGGAGCCATGGAATAAATATTATTAGTATATATGATAAGCTTAGTAGAATTTAAAAAAATTTTAAATGACATTTATGTTCAAACTAAAAGACAAAAAAAACAAGTAAGCTTACATTCTATATTTCTCGTATCATGGTTCAATTTTGGTTTACTAACTTTGATGAAATCTTGTAAATAACATTGACAAGATTATGACCATGAGATTCACAATAATTCAACCCACAATCCTTTTACGAGTAAGAATGTAAAATTGCATTCGCACTTTTGATTAGCATTGTCAAAACTCATCTGAACTCACTTTAGAACGATGTTTGTGAGTTTCCTTCTCATTTTGTATTCCCAAGTTTTGTATATTTTTGTTAGTCCCTACGTAGATTTGAGGAAATCTAAAACCATTGCATGTACTGAGTTACAACTACTATAAACTTGTGAATGAGTAAAACTCTGTCGTACTTGACATGGATCTAATATGATATGCATAAGATTGTATAATCGATGATAATAATTTAATTAATATAATTCAATTAATATTATACATGCTTAGTAACTTTTAACTTTATATTGTCTAGAAGCACAAAGGGCTGTGAATAGACTTCACAAGTAAATAGGTATTAAAATTATTCAACCCAAATAATGAAATACTTGCATCTTTTATCGATGAAGCAATTTGAACCAAATGAGAATTATAACTTTAATGTTAATGAGTTATTTTTAACAATTTATTTTATTTTTAAAATTAAAACTATTTGCAGGGACCGTAAGAGTTATCATAAAAAAAAATAAAAATCACCTTTTAACTTTTATCATTCACATTTTAGAATAAAGCTCGAAAAATAATAATTAATTTTGCTTTATATTATATTCCTCAAAAATAATTGTTTTATGTGCCTTTTATTTTTTCGCGCAGAAATAACTCTTAAAATTCTGTTTTTTATATTAAAGCAAAACAAAACAAAAGTTTGTTATATCGAGCATTTTTCTAGTTCTTTCATAAGCTACTCCTAATCTGTAATTGTTTTCTTTAGTATAATTTCCTATATTGTATAAAAGTTCTATATTACCACTATTAAAATCATAAAATTTTCTTAGAAAACGTCCATATAGGAGTTAGTAAGGACAGTATCCATGTGCTAATGATGGTGTTGTGTTAAATCAATACGTGAAGTACTTAATCCAAACATCCCAATCATCTCTATTGACTGAGATGTAAGATCATATATATTCATTAAACGTACGATGACTGCGTTCTACAGCACCTAGTGTTTGATGATGGTAGATGTAACATTCTCGATATTGAGATATTTACATAGGTCACTCATAATTTGGTTTTTGTACTCTGTACCCATGTCAGTTATAAACCTTTGAACTTTTAAAACAGAAAGTATTTTTTGACTTCTTTAATGAGATTGACAGTTTAAAGTTTGTGACTTCTTTCTTAGGGCAGAGTAACATACTTATTTTTCATAAATATATATTTATTTACGTTGTAAATATATATTATAACTTTAAAACAGTCACATATAGCTACTTAAAACTCGGAGCTAAAAAATTAAGCTGAAATTGAAGTTTTCTAATATAAAATAAGTAGACGGATACTCCGTTGTGTAACCAGTAAGTCTGGTATCCAATAATTTTACAATAAGATGTAAAGGTACTGGTATTATCGAAAACCTTTCGATCGAAAGTTTTTTATTTGAGGGAAGAACATGCAATAATTAGCCTATTAATAATAGAATTGAGATAAAGCCTATAAAATAGACAGATTTTTGAGAAAATAATAACCAAGAGTACGATGTTATTGGAAGGTAGCATAAAATAATAACATTATTTCATTCGTATTGCTGTAGAGATTGAAATATCATGAATATTGTTGTCCTCTCCCTGGACAGATCAATATTCACAAATAGAAATTGAAACAATATCGCAAAATATATATTTACCACTAATCCAATTTTAATTATCTATCTACGCAACGTGAAAATGTTAAAACTTGCATAATTAGAACTCGTGACTTATATCGAATGGTTTCTATATGTAGCATCCAATATATTATGGATAAGTAAAACGTTGAGTATTTTTCATGAGATGTTTTGAATTGAAAGAGGTTGAGGCGTGAGGCAAAAAGAGACCAGATTTATGGCAAGAAAACTCATGGATTTTACACCACACAGCGTTTGTTGTGTCGCAGTTTTTGGCCATAAACTCCACCAATATCATCAACCAAGCACCGTACTCTCCAGATATGGCCCCGTGTGACTTTTTCCTCTTCCCCCGACTCAAATTACCATTGCGAGGAACGCGTTTTGAGACCATAGAGGCCATAAAAGAGAATTCGCCGCGTGAACTAAAGGCCATACCTTCGGCGACCTATAAAACTTGTACGGAAAATTGGATCAAATGTTGGCATGCATGTATTGCCGCAGGAGAAGAGTACTTTGAAGGCGATAATAAAGAAAATTATTAAAAATTAAAATTTTGCGTGTTTTTTTAATTTTGCTGGGGGTGTGTTTAAAATAATGTCGACTAATTTGATGTCTAATACCAAGCGACGACAACGATTATTGACAACAATTGTTGATTTGTAATAGGCCCTTTAGTTTCCGCTTCTTGAAGTTGCATTCATAGATTGTCAATGCGTTGATTCATTTCGATTATAAATTCATCAGACTGTTTACGTTTAGACTGGAAAGAATTTTGTTTATGTATCAAGCTGATGTAAAAGATAAGGAAGACTCTTGCTAGGAGTATTGCTGATGACTATACATGAAGTCCCTCGAAGTGTTGTTTTGATGAGATGTAATTAGGTTCACATTCTCAAATTTACAAGTTCTCAAAAGTTCTTAATTTAAACTTTCTATGTATATATTCTATAACATCACAATTATCAGGATTCATTCATTTTTAAATAATTATTAATTACTGTTATTGAGTTTACAAATGTAATGTTGTATATTGTTACATTTGTGGTAAAATTATTAAGTACACACCTTCTAAAATGCGTTCGTCTACTTTATGATTATTTGATATAAGTATTGAATTCTATCTTATTATCTCCAAATTCTTATTCTTTTCTTTTATTTTAGTACATGACGCTTCTTTATGATTTAATAGATTTGACAAACAACTTTTATTTAATGACAGTTTTTCAAAAATTACTACAGTCGAATCCCGATCGTTTGAAATTGCAAGGGAACAGCATTTTTTACGAATTAGAGGGGTGTTCGAAATATCGAGGTTTCGATTTAATGAGTTTAAAAAAGAAGAAAATACGAATTAACGGAGCTTTTATATTTCAGTTGATTTTCACATATTTTATATATATAATTTTACTAGAACTAAATAATCTAATTTACATACATATGTATTTAGGTCCTATATATTATTAATTTAATAAGAAAATAAAAACATAAAAAATTATATAGAGAAAGATCAAGTTTAAACTTAAAAAAATTTGTAATTGTTGATTGCTTCAGATTCTTTTCGCCTATCGCTTCAATTGATTTTTCCAAACTTAAACAATCAAAAACATTGTTTTGGACATCATTTGACTTGTTTATTCGTTATAAGTTGTTCCTCATCGGCGCTATCATCCTCATCACTCTCATTATTAAAAGCCGCAACTTCTTCCAAAATATTATCTATTAACATACCAGATACAGCCACGTCATTATCAATGTTCACGTAATTATCGAAAAGGGTGACATTTTCAAAGTTCTCACATATACGGTCCTATACATAACCTATGTTTATTTGTTCGACTTGACATAAATTTTCATTTAAATCTTTATTAAAACTGCAAGCCCGGAAGCAACCAGATTAATAACCATTTTCTTGCGGTAAAATAATTTAAAATTTTGTATAACACCCTGGTCAAACGGCTGTAGCTTGGAAGTGGTGTTTACTGAGAAAAAAATTATTTTTACGTGATTGAGATTAGGGGACCCATTATGCGCTTTACAATTGTCCATAAATAACATTATCTTTCGATTATCTTTACTATAAAATCTGAATTTTGCATTATTTTGAACTTTCATACGTCCATTAGGTCAGTCAAAAAAAGTTTTCCATTCTTATGATTAATAATATCCTAAATTTCTTTAGGTCTGTTTGTAATAGATTTTGTGATTCTGTCTGTTTGTTCCTCATCGGCTTGTTTCTTTACTTTTGTCCTACGTGAAATATTTTCTAAATTTTGAATAGTTTTTCCATACTACCTATAGTTTTAAATTTTTGTTAGTTAGTGATAAATTGTTTATTATTTTTTACTGCTAGCTCGTTAAATTGTTATTAATGGTTACTAGATCATCATAATCTGGGGCTTCTTTTACTTCTATGCTTAATCCTCTGTAACTGCGATAATGACGTGCCCATCAGATGTAGTTCTAATTGTATGTCTTAACTGTGAATGTGTATCATAAATTTATTATGTTGCATTTCTAATCTAACATCAACATCTTCATTAATTTCATTTCTGGTATAGTCAATTATTTCCGTTGATACCATGTTAAATCAAATTAGAAAAATTATTAGTAGTATGTCCATTGCCTGCAAACTTAAAGAGTTTAATTTTTGTTATATTAAGTTGTATAGTTTTATACTTTAGTATTGTCTTTATGAACAATTCTATTCCTATTATGGATTTTTACCTTTTTTCCTAGGTCTTCTTTAACCTCTTGTTTTTTATATTTTGCATCTAGTTTGTTTCTTTTACCTATAACTTTTTTATAAATGACCTCATTGAATATATAACCTTTTAGGGTATTTTGATTTAGCATTTCTAATTAAAATATTCTTTTGCGATTTTTTTAACCCACACGAACATTTTGATGTTGGACTTTATTAAATATAATAACACATCCTGTGGTCTCAAATCAGTGACGGTATGAATCGTTTTATTATACTGCTGAACAGCTCTATAAAATACTATAAATACTAAATACTATACTATAATATTATATTCTTGTTTTAGACATCTAACAATATCTGTAATCGTGGAGTGAACGTGTTCTATTTGGCTATTAGTTAAACTGTGTTGTGGATCCCAGTGAAAGATATTAATATTTATTCGTTGCAATAAACTTTTGAATTGAACATTTGTAAAATTTCTTAAATTTTTTCGTTTAATTTAACTTTATCCTCTATGTGTTTAAAGACTAAATATTTGGAATAAGCGTCAATGCATGTGATAAATTTAAATTTTGGTGTAAAGAAGATATCTAAGTGTACTATCTCCTTCTCCTTCTTAGAAATTAGAGCCTCGCCAATTGGTATCTTGTGGGTACATCTAGTGGAAAATTTTTAGTATATAGAAATTTTATATTAAAGGTTTCGATTAATTTTTCTTTAATTTCATATAGATCTTCAGGAGTACAATGGATTCCTGTTATTATTTTGAGTTGTAAATGTTCCTTTAAAATGGTTAGCAAATTTTCAACTGTATCGAATTCTATAATATGTCGGGTTCTATTAAAGTCAGTGATTTGTTCATGTATTGTAAAGCATGCTTTTGCTTATAAAATTTGCTGTTTAAACTGATTAAGTCGTTTGAATGTTTTTTATGTAGTAGTGTTGTAGTAGTAGTGTCTTCGTGGAATGTTGTACAGAAGTAATCGATGAGTTTTTTGAGAAATGATTTAAATATTGCCTTAATAAGACATTAGCCACTACATTAATAATTCCCGATTTGTATATAATTTTGCGTGAAAACTATTTATCTTGGCATTAGGGTTCCGAGTGGATACGGAAAATGTTAGAGGTTGGTGGTCGTTATGGATCTCTAAATTTGAGACTCCATATAAGTAATTTCGTAGTAATTTAATGCCCAGACTATAGCATATAATTGCTTTTCGTTAGAGGCGTTCTGTTTGGTTAAACGTTTGAGATATAAAGATAATACGCTTACCATTTTGGGTACGTACTTCATCAATTGCTACATTAGATGCGTCGGTAGTTAAAACAAATTTCTCATTATTCCATTTGATTGATTAGCAAATCTTTAAGTTTTTTAAATGCCTCAATTGCTCCTTCGTCTAGTATTATATCAATTTAGATACTGTACCATTTTCCCTTGCAAAGTATTTTGGAAGCGGCTTTGTAACTAAAGCATAATCTTTTATGAACTTCCTGTAAAAGCCTGTCATGCTTAGAAGACTTCTACATTTTCTAAGCGTTTGTGGTAATGGGTATTCGACAATTGTTGCTACTTTATTTGGCTCAGTTTTAATTTCATTATGAACTACTATATATCCCAGGAATTCGCCTTCGTTTTAGAAAAATTTTGATTTTTCCAACGATATTTTCATATTGACATCTTTCAATCTTTCGGTTATTTTTAGTAAGTCCACCTCATGTTGTTCGATGGTTTGCGAGTAGATGATAATATCATCTATGTATAAATGGCAAATTTTTCCGATATATTCGCTCAATATATTGTCCATGGCTCTTTGAAATATAACTGGTGCATTCTTTAGACCAAAAATCATTCTGACAAATTCATATTTTCCGTTATGTACAGAAAATGCGGTTTGTTCGATATCTTATTCCTTCATTAAAATTTGGTGAAAGCCTGACTCTAGATCAATGGTGGAGAAATATCTTACTTTCCCTAAGTTTGATAAGATTACATTGATATCGGGGATTGATCATCTGTCCGATACTGTTTTTTCCTTTAATTTTTTATGATCTGTTACCATACGTACATACGTAACTTGGGGGGTGCCATCTTTGTACCCTTTTTTGGTACAACCCAAATTGGTGAGTTGTTCATGCTCTTACTTGGCCTTATGTTTTCATAGACCATATCATCTATCTCCTTATTAACAAAATAATTAACTGAGAAGGGCTGTGGATATTGTTTACTTCATATAGGAATTTCAACAACGGCTTTAATTTCCGCCTTAACATCAGTTCTAAAAGGTAACTTCATATTAATATTGGAATGACATTTTTCTATTTGCCGTTTTGATATTTAGTATTCGGGTTTCAACTTCGTCATTATCCTTTATATTATTAAGTTTTGATTCCCTTTGTTAGTTTTATTAATATCCTTTATTTTTGCGTTAATACTCTTAATTGCATTTTTTATTATTTCATTTATATCGAGAAGGAGGAATCGTTTTCAGAATTATTTAAATCTTCTAAAATTAAAAATTTCTCGATGATCCCGTTATACTTTAATATTTGCTTATCAAAATCTATAATAACACTTGCGCGTGTTAGTACATTTATACCATTAATATGTCACATTCTAAATTATTTATTTCATAGAATATAGTCACTACTCTAAATATCTCTGTCTCGTAATAGTATTTAATTTTGTTTAACCATTTATGGTTTTAACCCGCATATAAATAGGTAATTCCTGTTTATCTGTTAATACGTTTGCTTTACAGTAGCAATTTGTGGCTCCCATATCTATCAATATTCGGACTCGCTGGCTTCCAGATTTTGTTCTAAAAATATAGGGGACGCCTGGCCGTTGGCCTAAAAAAGTGTTCTCTTTGCTGTCATTTGTACGTTGATTTTTATTTTGAAGTTAAGCGCTGTGTAAAGATTCTTTAATCGGTTGTGGAAAGATATTGCGACTTAGATTAGAGACAGTCTGAGGTTGATTTAGTTTATTTAATTGAATTGGTTGCGATTAGCATTAGGAGTATAAAAATTGTTTTGATATCTCTGTTGCAAAAATTGGGGTCGAGGTTCTCGGATATTTCTGGTGGATTGATCGATATCCGTTGGTTCCGGTTTCAGAAGGTAATAGGACTTTATATTATCATTATTACTATTAATGCGGTACTGAGGGTATCTTAAGTTATTTTAAAATGTAGTTGGATGGGCTTGATATTGTGTGTATTGTTTCTATTAAACATAAGAGTGAAGTTGGTTCGTAATTGATTCGATTCTAACTCTTGTGCTTTAGCTAAAGCATTAGGCAAGTTTTCCAGACTTAAGGAAAACAAAATACTAAAGAGTGGATGGTTAATATCTGTTATAAATATCCTGGTTGCATTTTCGCGATGTTTTCTATTCAATTTTATTGTGATTATATTATTGTTTCCGTGAGTCATTATCGTTTTGTTGATCAGCATTGTCAACTCTTTGTTCATTTCGATATAGTAGTTTAGTAGTTTATAATGGTCATGGCTCATTGTCTAAGTATACTCATTTTCTGTTCGATTATATGGATTTTGCGTTTGTCCACGTACGCGAAATCTAAGCGGCTAGTAATTACGTCTATTTTAAGCACTGTACCATAATTTCTTATTACGTCATTCGCATGTCCCACTATTTTATTTCTAAGTATGGTAAGTGCCGCGAAATATTTGCGATTTTCAGGTTTATATAAATTCATAGAATTATTAGCTTCTAACTAATTGTTTTTCTATCGAATTTCGGTAAACGTTTAATTACATCTAACGTCTCGTCACTTTTTTTTTTGAAAATTTTAGGCTACATCCCTTAAATGAAGCACTCAATGTTTGCTTTTTTGGAAGAATTGAATTTGAACAACCTTGGCGTACTTATGCTTTCTGTGAATGAGGTCTGCGACTGAAATCGTTATACTAATATTCGACAATTGCAAAGGATGGGACTTCGTCGCCATAAGTAGAAGTAAGTTCAGTGATGCACTCTTGTCTAATCCACGTTTTTTTTTGCAGATTTCGCAGCTTCCAAGTTGCCGTGAACAATACAAAGCATACTCGAATTACTCAAAATGTTCAGAAATGTTCAGAAGGTGTTGAACAAAATGTTGTTCATACAGCCCGATCTGTGGAGATCTATTTAAATTGGAAACATGAATGGTGTTGCAATACGAATACATGGATTAGAATAGATGTAGATGTACGTTGCGGGAATAGGGTTGTGTGGAATAGGAAGCATTGGTGAAGAAATCTGAGCACTTTTGGTCACTTTCATCTGACATCTTAAAGTATTTAAAGTTCTCAATATTCATAATTCTAGTACAATTGTGTGTTTTCTTGAAAGAACAAAAACAAATATGATTAATTTTTTAATTGTAATTTTATTTGCAATATAATGAATATTAATATGCATAATTATTTCTATAGCAGAAGTAAATGTAATGTTGGTATGTGAGGGTGTTCGTGAACTTTTTTTAATTTAATTTTGTTTTTTTCTTTTAAATTCATTTGTATTTTAATTTCTTTTTCATTTAAGGACATTTAAGCATTTTAATAAATACAATCAATTGCAAATTTAAATAAGTTTTTCTTTGATTGATTCTATTTAATATTTTGTTTCTGATTGTTTCACTCTTTAAATACTTCGTCTAACTTATTTAACATCTAAATTATTTACTTCTTTGTTGCCAAGTACATCTTGTCCAATACGTGGTGTATGACCTTTTGCCATTACTTCAGCTTAATTATTAAAAATAAAATAAAAATATTATAAAAAAAAAAATGAAATGAAATTTGTGGCATTTAAGAGATTACGCTGAAAAGAGACGAAAAAAATTAGTTTAATAAAAAGTTTATATAAAAAATACATAAATATTTTTAACATGAAACAAATATTTAGCGAAATGAACTAGATGAAAATTTTTTTTTTATTAACAACAATATGTTTACAATTACAAAAGAAAAACATTGAATGAGTTATGAAATCATAAAATACATGAACCAATTTCATAATAGTTAAATTAATTTTCCTTCTGATGGGTAACGTAATTTTGAAGTCAATAAAAAAAATTTTGAGTGCTTTTTTTGTGTTAAAAATCTTGAAAATCGTAGCAACGTCTGTATTATACCAAACGAGATGGTAAAATTATAGGTGATTTCTTCCTATAAAATGCTGAAAGATCAATGATTAAGTTTGAGGATTGTTAAAAATTTAATGTTAATTTTTATATTATCAGAAATGCAATAAAATTTAAATATGTGTTTCCATAATTAAATAAATAAATATGTTTAAATAATAATAATAATTAAGTTTTTGAAGAGGTATTATATTGTTTTAAAATAAAATAATATTGATAATACTAAATAATAATCAAAATAATTTTTTGGCTATTAAAATAAACAAATTTTTCAATTATAGTAGAAACTCATGTTTTCGAGAACTACGATCCTTGAGCAATTTGAGAATATTAGAATTTGAACATTGATGAATGAATAATCAATTTATTTTTCCTAGACAACAGACTCCCTACAGATTCCAACTACCTAATTTTATTTTCGTTTTGTTTTATATATAAATGTATAACATAGCATGACATCATATGTAAAGTTCCAAGGTTTTCAAACAGCTAATTTTATGTTTGAGGTATACTCGAGCACAAGTATACCTGCATATGAAAAAGGTCAAAGCTTGTAACAGCTCGAATAATATTTAAAGCACTAATATATGTGTATTTATTATATTTACTAAATAAAACTATGCACACCATATGTACTACATATTCCATACTATAAATAACACTACAGTATATATATTAAATATGTCATAAAGGATTATCCATTTCGTGATCCTGATTTAGCAGTAGTCTCTTATTGACACATATCAAACAGAATTGCCATCCCAGATATCTTATCATCTCTGGTTAATTTAAAATTTGGTTAATTGCGTACTCGAACAATAGTATTTTGATTACAATTTTACGGATCGATTGTTTTTTAATGTTGTTGTTGTTGTAACCCGCTGAAATCTGCTTGAGAAATCCTTTTGGGAGGTGTCTAACGGCATTTTGTCATCGCTGGCGACGAGTGGCTTCGGGACGTAGACCGTTCTTGAAATTGTTCTTTAATGATTACGTTTGATTGATTGATTGATATATCATTACATCACTATACGTAACACCACTACATACACATAAACTAACTATATGGTTTAGCATTTAGTTTAAAGGTGTGATATGCACAATATGCTTTGAAAATGGTAAAATTGTGACAATAATCGTTCATTCCACTCACTACAGTCACATGGTGAACAACTTTCTTGGCATGAAATTGAAAATATGGTTATAGAAGGTATATACTTTTAAAAGAGCGGTTTTATAAACTACTCATATTTTGTTTCGTTTTTGTTGTTCGAGAAATTTATTACCAATGAGGTATTCCCAACTTTATGCTAAGTCACTGAATATTATTTTAAAAACGATCCGCTATTTTCAATTCCCAATGTATGCAGCTCTAATTTAACGATACTGTACTAATACCCTTACCAATTTGAGTCCACTTAGTCTTTGGTTTCATCCCATTGAAGTGCATATGGTTTTTCGCCTTGACACAGGTTAACTCCAATTCGCAATCCTCTCTTGATTCTTGATTCTTCTTGAGTTAGTGCTTTTACGCACTTTTACTCTATAATGGCTTATCTCTACCCCACAGTAGGCTTTAACTAGGCTAAAAAATCATATCATTTATTTGTCTTTTAGTTGATGACGGACCTTAAATCAGCAAATCTTCCTGAGAGTCCAGAAGTGGACTTGAGGATTGTATCAACTTTAGTGAATAATTTTAGAGCTCTGTCTCTGATATATTTTTTCACTAAGTCAATTCTAAGATCTCTATGTATGTCTGTTGATCTAATATACCATGGAATCTTAAACACAACTCACACTTCGTTTAGTTTAACTAAACATATCGTAACTGATGTATATATATTTGTAAATCTTTTCATGTTATCTGCTCTATATGTCTCCGGAGGTTACAACAACAACAAGAACAGCAACAACAATAACAGTACTGTTATATATCTCATGCAGACTATGATCCCTGATTGCCAGGTTCAAATAATATATTGAAATAAAAATTTACTTCCAAAGTCACAAAATGGATAATTCTGTTACGTATAAATAATGTATATAACATATATACTAAATATAATATAATACAATATATATTATATGTAATACTTGATATGCATACAACATGTAGTGTAAATATATAGTAAATAATTTATATACTACACACATAAACACAAAATTAAAAAACTAAAATAAGAAAATAAAAAAATATTAATATTAGTGTATGTCGTAAAGAGAATGTAATTTCCTTGTTAAATTATTTCACCTTACAGAAACAAAACTATTGTTTAATTATGTACATATACAAATTTTTGTTTTTGGTTTTTTGTGAAACTAGATAGTTAAAATAAATAGGTCATATAAGAGAAAGCTAAATACCCCTTTAATATATTTTCGAATTGTGCTTGTGCACATATAAATTTTACATGCAAACATCTATTATAAGAATCTGATAATTTGTATTATTAAACTGCAATAATCAATACATAAATAAAGTTCCAATTTTCAACATGTAATGTACATTAAATTATGCAAAACATTAACATAAAACATTTATGACACATCTATTTAAACAGTAAATTCACTCAACTAACAGTCGACGGAGTTGGTATTAGCAGTTGTAGGAGGTTCCACTACTAGTTTAGCAGCTGCTAAGATTGTTGAATCCTTACCCATTATTGGCGGTACGGACACATTAAAAATATCTAAAGCCATTTCTTAATATCGAAAATATTAAGACCATTAAAAATATGTTTTTTTCTTTTAAATGTTAATAATATAAAAATGTTAATAATATAAAAATGTTAATGATATGTGCAAATGTATAACTATATATATAAGTATATATATAAATGATTGTGTTACTAGTGATTTTAGTATAAAATATGTGCACTTATTAAAACTACAATGTATATGTGTCAATTGTATATATGAATTCAAACACCTAAATAATGTAAATATGCAAATTCATACCAGCTGCTATTCCTGCCATCGCTTCTGATGCAAAATGTTTCACATCTACGTCAGTATCTCCATTTAACTTTTCCAAAGTGGGTTTGACTTGTGTATCGATGATACTTGCTTCCAAGTAGGGTGAAATCTTTTGCAGAGTTTTGGCAACATTAAAACGGACATTTGCAACAGGATCCGATGCTAAAAGCAAAACTGTGGGTAGAAGTAACTTGGTTGTGATATCTGTGCCACAAACTTCAGCTAACATATTTAAGCAGAAGAGACAAGTCATTCCTATATAATAAATAGAAAAATATTGACTTTTTCAATAATTTTATAGTTATTTTATAATATACTTACTGTATAAATAGTTCTTGTTGCGTGACATAACTAATATCATCGGAATAATTGCTTGTTCGGCCCATTGTGCACCAAATTGTTCAACCAATTTCTTCATATTTAAAGTAGCTGCTTCACGTATAGCATAAACATGATCGTTTAGCCAACCCATGCATAAACCACGTAACTTTTGATCAAAGAATTCCTGTCCCAATTGTCCGGCTAATGCAGGCATATACTCAATAATAGCCAAACGTACGCGCCACTTAGAATCCTCAGCAAGTTCGACTATAGCTGGTAATAATGACTGCAAATATACCACAAATATTAACATTATCAATTTATATTTGAAAACCTTAAATTTTATTTTTACATAAAAGAATTTAAATTTTATTGTAAATATTATTATTATGAATACTAATAACTTTAGTTACAGGGAGAATTAAAAAAATGTAAATTATATAAAATACAGTAAAAGATCGTTAACGACTAGAATGAATGAATGTTGCCTCAGACTCTTGTAAATGTTTATTACTTGGTACTTCCATAAATCGTATTAGAACTACAGTTACAGAGAAGGTCTTCAGAAAAAATGAAAGTATTCATCTCAAACGTTAATAACACTTTGCAAAGAAGATACACTATTAGTAACCAATGTTACTGTTATAACTTGATTTAAAGAATGATGCAACTTTAGCAAGAAGGATGGGTGACGCTTGATCATTGTCTTAGACCAATAATACCAGAACTCAGTAGTAAAAAAATATTCTTTTACTATTAAATAAAACCGAATAATTCAATATTTTGTAGCAATTCTTAGCTTTCAGAGCTCTCAGTTTATTCAGTTGAATTATTATTGTTGTATTTGAAAAATTCGAGTATGTGGTGAATAATTAAAATTTGGTAGAAAGATCGTAAGCGAAGAGTTGTAGGACGTAATGGCGCTAAAATGATGAAAGACTGTTTAACAAAAATGACTCAAACAGTGTTTGGGAGGTACTCCCAGTTTAAAGATACATATTTGATATTATATAATAAGGCAAAGTGTTGTATTATGTTCTTGAAAAAGTTTGACTATAAAGCAAATGAAGAAAATTCGTTAGGAAAGGTAAACATCGTCTTAGTCATCAATGTAAACGAATAGATCTGTACGATAGGGAAGATGAGATGATCAAAAACTTTTTAACAAAACTGAGTTAATGATTTTAAGCTATTTCTAGGTGTATAAGGTGTACATCTTAAATCAATCTTATATTATAAGATGAAGTGTTTTATTACTGTTTTTGAAGATTTTGGCTATAAAACAAATGATGACAATTTGATAGAAAAGGTAAATATTGTCTTGATCATCTTCGTAATATCAGAACTTTGTGGTTTTCCCCATTCTATTCTATTGTACAATTTATGTCATCCGTACATATGCTGGCGTTTAAAGTATATTTGGGTGACAATAACAACTATAACAACAACAGCAAATTTTAAAGCGATCAATAGGACTTTTGAATATTGCAACTCCTATTCCCTTTATATACTCTAATCCTTTTTATATGTTACTTATGCTTATTTTCATTCTTCTTTTCTATCCTATCTTATTTTTTGAAAATCTTGCAAGATTATCCAAAAATGTTTGAAATAAAAAATCAGATTGCAATTACAAAATAAGTAACATATGTTTTTTACAATAAAAAAATCATATTACTATGATAATGTTATTATATTATTATCTAACAATAATATAAGATAAATTATCCACTTTTCAATACAGTTTTATGCTATATGCATTCTGATGTTGGACGGATAAACATATGTTATGCCATTAAAAAAGTAATAGAAACATATTTTTAATTATATAATCTAATAAGAATTCGCTAGGCTTATTACGAATTATTGACACTCATGCTAACTAATCGCAGAAGAAAAATCGCAATATACATAAGCAGAATATTGTTTCTAATAATAAACGAAACGATTGATTTTCTACGAAGTGTTGACATTCTAGTTTTTTTTTTGCAACAAAAATAACATTTATTACCTGACTATATGTAGCTAACAAAAACCATTGTCTTGGTATAGTACTATAAAGATAGACAAATCATATGTTTATATTTAAAATAAATCAGACAGATTTACAAGAATTTGGTTGCTTCTACTTAAACAATTAATCATTTATTATTAATGTTAAAAGAAACATTTGTTTTAAAAATTTAAAACATTTGTTGCTATATATCTGATTACAGTACAAAGAACATAGATGGGGCTTAAAACCTTACTAATCAATGATTTCATAGAATTTTGTAATAGGTGAGACTATTAAATATTAACTGCATTTAAAATTAATTAATATTAAATAAATAATATTACTTTAATGCTTATTGCTATTTATAATAAATATTTTGTTTTTTAAAGTTTTATTTTTTGGCAAAACTTGAAACTACTGTATGGTTAGCGAAAAAATTCATTTAAATTAAAATAAAATTTATGTTATAATTTCGAGAAGGATAATACAGTCAGTCGAATTTCCATAACTCGAATTTTCTACAACCGGAGTGCAACAGGTTTAGAGAGCAAATTACATATAACAATAAAAAAAATCTGTGACTAACATTGTTATTTTGAGTATTGACACACATAATATTAAATAATTATAAACTAATTTATTTTTATTTATTCTTACCTGTGATAATTGTTGAATTCCTATAACATCATTAACACAATCCAAATTGGAAATAATATTTAAACGCACTTCTGGGCATTCATCTTTCAATTGTATCAAAAAGAGAGGTAATAAATGCTCTACTGTATTATAAGCACCTAACATTGGGCTCAAGCCCATAATAACTGAAGCCAATGCAGACTTAACATGTGGATTAGGATCAGAAACTAAGTCACGTACATATGGTAAAATTGAAGTCATAATAATTTGCACTTGATTTGTTTTATCCAAATTTGCGCAAAAATCTTTAACTTTTGTTGCAACAGCTGCACGAACTTCTGCTTCGGCATCTTTAAGCAAATACTGTAAAATAAATAATAATATATTTAAATACTTAAGTAAAAAAAAACAATAAAAAATATATTTGAACAACCTGAAAAGCTGGAACCAAATCTACACGTGTAATTTCTGGTCCAACTGCTTTCTGCAAATCAACAAATTTCTCAGCAACCATATAACGCACACGCCAAGAAGAGTCGCTAGCACACTGGCGCAAAGTTGGTAAAACTAACTGTAATATTTGTGTATACTTGTTAATACATAAAGCATATAACTATTTACATATGCAAGTGTACTTACATGCTCGACATCTTCCTGTGGCAATAGTTGTGCAATGCTTACGCAAGCCTCTACAGCTAAAAGTCTAACAGAGTCCTATAATAGTTTAAAAATAATTTAAAAATAATTATAATAAATTGTAATTAAATCAATATTAAAAGTTTTAAACAAAAAAAATTATAATTATTAACACGTTAAGTATATAAAATTAACGCACACAACTAACCTGATCATCCTGTGCCAATTGCACAAAGTTGGGTATTAAATCAGATTTTAAGTATTCGACCTCTACAACTTTAGCGAATTCACCAAGCTTACTTGCGGCTGCTCTGCGAACCATTGGTGTTTCATCTTGACACAGTTTACGGAAATTAGCGCGTAATTCAGATTTAACTGGTTGCGAAACACGTGGATAACAAACTGAAAACAAGCCACAAGCTGATGTACGTGAAGTGAACCAATCACCAGAAACCAAACGTTGCAATGTTGGAACAACATGAATTTCTAAGTCTTGTGCGCTATGCTCAGCAGCTACAGTGCGCAAAGATTCTACAGCTTTGTCTCGAACAACAGTCTCTTCAACTGTAGCCAAACTTTCAAGTGGTGGAATTAAATACATAGCATATTCAGGACCACCAACTAGACCTAAAATTAAAATAAAATTTTATAAATAAAAAAATTTTTTTTTCAATTATTTTTATATAAGGTACTTACTGGTGAAATTCCCTAGCTGATCAGCTAATGCAAGCAAGACTTCGTCTTCATCATAAATAGTTTCAGTGAGGAATGGTATCAATTCTGATCTTGTACGTTCTTCACCAAGTGCTAAGGCGATTGTCGATAGCTTTTTAATTGAATTCAATCTTAGCTGCAATAAATAAAAATTAAAATGAAAATTAATTTCAAATTTTTAATTATATTTTTTTTATTTTTATATTTAAAAAATATTTTAAATAATTTTTTTCTTTATAAAATATATAAATATTTTGCACTACCGGCATTATTCTTTCGATTTGGATTGTCATTTTGCTCTGAAATCGTTATTAGGACTGAAAGATACTCATTCTTTTTATTTAGCACACCATTACCAAATAATTGAAACTACAGAGTTGCAATACTTAATACGTACGCTAACTATATAATTTAAATTTACCGAAGAAACTATAATTACACAAAGTGTGCAAAAACATAGATGACACATTAGGGGTACTCATCTAAACTGATAAATGCCTTTCAAACCTTATAAACGTATAAATTTATCTTCTTGATAATTGAAGTGTCAAATTTTGTATGAAAAACAGTTTACACAAATTTATTAAATTTATAAGAAAAAATTACCGAATAAATTTATATCGTATAAAGTCCCACAAAAGCAAATCATTAACAAAAATATCTTTGTGAATACTTTTTAGTTTCGACTTTTCGCTAAATTTCGGTATATTATTTTATAATTGTTTAATAGCGACACAGCTGATCAATAAAGTTTGCACAAATATTTATAATTGCAACGATATTGGCCAAAAAATTGCGCTGCTAATAATTTTTTGTTGATATAAATAGTGGTATTATACAGCATATTGATAAATTTACGCAAATATTTCACTAAGTGCATTCATATAACCATGTACGCAAACGCATAAAATTATACATTTGATAAATTTATATGCTAAGATGAGTACTCCTATCATTTTAAAGAAGTGCTTTGGCATGCCATATATAATGGTCCAGCGTCAACTAGTATTTGTCTTCTCAGAAGCAAGTGAAAAAACACATAATTACATATAAAACAATTAATGCCCGTAAAATAATATACATTTACAACTCACATTTAAAAGTGTTTTAATTGACAATAAAGCGGTAATACAGAAGTACCACAAATATGTAAAATAGAGCATATAATAGAGCATATAATAGAGAATTTATAATTATATAATTTTTGTGTTCAATGACAAGACTTCTGTTTCCAATATAAAGGGATAATAGCGACGATATATTGAATCTAAAAATCTAATTTTTAATTTAGCGAATTATACGATTCAACGTCTAACAGTGTCTTTTAAACGGACACTGTTAGCATTAACCAACGGTTGTCTGTTCAAGTAGAGTGGTCGGCTAAATGCGCTGAACATGTTCCAAATTATGACAAAACAAAAAGTTGTCCGGCTAAGAATAATTTGTCTTTAACACGGATGTCCATTAGATCAATTTTGGCTGTAATACAAATTTTTTTTTATTATGATTTTTATTGCAAACATTATAAAGCGTTAAAAAATTCTAATTTAAAACATATATATATATATATATATATATATATATATATATATCTCAAGGATGGCTTAGATACATATATGCGTCACAGCAATAATAGTGGATAAATGCAACAAGAGTGCAAAAGAGTAATATCGAATTACCATAATTGGAACATAAGACTTAGAGCAACACTGAGAATAGTCAATAGTGATTGTTAAATTAAGCATATTTTAATATTAAAATTATAATCTGGCATAAAAATAAAACATTTTTATTATGGAATATACTACCAGAATATACTACAATTTTTTATTAAGTTATAAATAAATAAGGTATGTTCATTCTTGAACAACTAAAGACACTTAATGAATTATTAAATTTATATTTCAATTTTTAAAATAAATGCGCGAATATTTAATATCAATCAAAAACAAACTTTAAATGCTGCTCCTACGAAGTGCTTAGTATAAATATATTTTCGGGGTAAATTTTTTTCTTAAGTATAACAACAATAATAAGTATAACAATGAAAATATAGTAAAGTGCAACGAAAATGTTGGTCGAAGCAAAGGCTTAAATAACCTAGTAACGTTACAACTCATTGCACGACGTGTATACTGTTATCGAGCTCAATACTCGAACTCGTGAATAACCCTAGTAAAAAAAATATAATAGTAACAGTAATACATACTATAGAGAACGTATCTTGAATCAGTCAAAGCTCAAATGAAATATACTATAGTTATAATAATAATATACAAATAATAAATAATAGTAAAGATAATAAAAAAATAATATAATAATAATAATATAATAACAATAACATAATAATAATAATATAATAACAATAACATAATAATAATAAATAAATTATAAATAATAGTAAATATAATAAAAAAATAATATAATAATAATAACATAATAATAAAATAATAAAATTAATATAATAATAATATTAATAATAGTAATAATAATAATAATAATAATAATAATAATAATAATAATAATAATAATAATAATAATAATAATAATAATAATAATAAAATAATAATATAATAATAATAATATAATAATAATATAGTAATAATAATATAATAATAATAATATAATAATAATAATATAATAATAATAATATAATAATAATATAGTAATAATAATATAATCATTTAATAATAACATAAAAATTATTTTTATTTTTTAAAACTTTCATTATTAAATTATTAGGTAGGAAAATATATATATATTGTATACATATAATATTATATAAACCTTTATAAAGCTCTTTATAGATTGTTGCGTTACAATACAATATATGGTACGTTAAAGTATTATAGTACGCACTGAGATTAAGTAAATTATAACCAGGGCTTCGGATCAGATATTTCTGAGTTCCAGTTCAATAAACAAAAATATATCGGTTTCTTTTCAAAAAAAATAACAGTAATTTCTTCGATTTAATTCCGGTTCTGTTTCAAGCAAATATTTTTTAAAAATAAATTTAAATAAATTGTAATATGTATTACAAAAATCACTTTTTTTATCATTCTCATCAATTTTTGTTTCATTTCGTTTCAGATACAGCGGTATGTTAATATCACTTGGATTATAATATTAGTTACTGTAACACATTGGTATTATACTCGTACCAGCAAAAGAATTAATAATAATTAGACGGGTTTCAAGAACGGCCCGGAGCCACTCGTCAACCACGACGATTAAATGCCGTTCACTACCCCCTAAAAGGATTTTACAAGCAGATCTTAGCGGAGTACAATAACAACAACGACACTACAATAGGAAGTGATATGCAATTTATTAATTGATATTCCAAACTGCTACGTCTCATCTCTTCCTGTCAATACTTTGATAAAGATTAAATACGTTTCAGTGAGAGAAATTTCAATGAAAAAGGGAAATATGATCTTAGGGTTTGTGATTTTATACCAACAACTGTTATGCCAAGATAATGTTGGTATAGGGCAATCTAGAGAAAAAGAGAACAATACAAGAACTGTGAAACTACTTACCACATGAGTAATTCATACATAGCTTATTTTTTTGCCGTAATTTTGTATATGTATCATTATATTTAATTATATTGTTTACATACGTTGGAATTATTGAACTAATTTACTTCACACTAATATCAACACTAGAAATACACAATATTATGATACAGTTTAAGCAACATACATCAATTGTTGCTATAGTTACCGATAGATAAAATGATATCATAGAGAATACCAAAAACTAATTCATAGGCCTGTTCCATGTGAGGCAGTAGTGAATTAATTGGACCCCTTTAAATGATTACTACACTAGGGAGTAGCACTAATTACATTAGGATAAATCATTCGGCTAGTTTGAAACTACTCCGATTTGATGCAGGGTTAGAATAAATTAAAACAAAAAGAGATATACTGACTCAACTTAGGAAGGTAATTTTTTTATTTAATCTGAATGATAACAGTTATAAGGTGATTTTTATTTTTTTAATCATTTTTTTAAGATCCTGTTAAGGTCCATGAATAATAATCATATTTAGAAAAATAATTAATTAATTAATTTTAAGATTTAGTATAAGATTTGATATAGACAAAATAATGTTATAACGTTCCTATTTTAAGAATAAATACACCTAAACGTTTTCAGAAAATTGTTAACACAGAAAGCTGTTAGTTTGACATAACAGGGCTTAAGAATCTACTCTAATCTACCCAGAAGGGGGTACAACAGACCCGACAGTCGCAGAGCCACATTCCCTAACTATAAGAATAATACCATTTTCTTAAATAATCAATCAATTTAAGTCATTATGACCTATTTTCGACTGTGCGATGGATTGTGGTATGATATGAATTTGTTGATACTCCCCGCAAAATTAGTGCATCCCAAATTGGGAAATTTGTCAGTGAAAAATATATATAACATTTAAGTCAAGTAAACATAGAACATAGCAACATAACATAGAAATTTTGGTGTTAATCGTGACGTGTTTGGACGTTACATTGTAGTAAAATGCATTTAGAACATTTAGAAATGTGAAAATGTAACGACCCGACCCCTGTTGCCTATTGCATATCAATTGCTACAACGTGAGAACTCTTGACAAAAAAATACCAAAAACCTTTAGTCAAAGTTAAAGAAAAATGAAGCAAGATCGTAACCCCATATACGATTGTAGTGCTTAGTGATGATTTGAAAATATGACTTCTAGTAGTAATCTGAATAAATTACATTATTATTTACGTCTGTGATTTCTTTTAAATCATTTTTAATCATTATTTACGCCTGTGATTTGTTTTAAATCATTTTTAATCATTAAAATAAATAGCTTTATAATAATGTATGCAAAATAGCCCAGCTCGTAGGGTTAAGCGGCATGTGGTTGTCTAATAGGGTAATTGGGTTTGAGCAGTAGGCTTGGATGCTTCTAGATGTGTCATCTCGTCTTCGTTTTATTCACAGGTATTATTTTTTCGGAATAATTCTGTGTTGTATTTGTCACTTTTCGCCTTAAATGGTAAATATCCTTCATTATGAATATGCTGAATATGCTATTAATCACTATCCTCAATTGCTTACTGAAATCTATAGCTCTAAAAGAGGCACTGCATT